ACACGCGGGAGGCCTAGAACAAGACGCTGACTAGACATAGCGCGCAGGCGAGAAATGGACGGGTGCCCCATCCGGTGGTGCCACAAAACAGTGGGGTGGGCAAGCGACCGGCAGGAGCACGACGCAGCAACTGAACCAGACACTGGAACCTGACCAGAAACAGCTACCTGGGGAGACGCGGCAACCTGGTGAGACGCGGGAACCTGACAGGGGTCGGGGGTAGTAGCTGCTGCTGCTGCTGCCGCTGCTGCTGCTGCTGTTGCTGCTGCTGCTGCTGCTGCTGCCGCTGCTGCTGCTGCTGCTGCTGCTGCTGCCCTCGGGGGCTAGTGTGAAGTGTGAAGAGACCAGAGCCCGGCTCAGCGGTAAAGGTGGCGAGAGGCGCGTACGTGTCCCCGTCGACACAAACCGCAGTCTCGCCAGAAGGCTCAATCCACACACCCACTTGCTGACTCACGAGCGGCCTCACGCCCACCAAGTTCCTCGAGAACGAGGGGACGTGGAAGCCGGTCAGAACACCGGAGGGAACAGCCGGGCATAGAAGCGTAGTAGTGTAGCGAGCAGTGACTGGTCCAGAAGTGGGATCAGCCAGTGCTACAGAGACCGGTGTAGGAAGCGGGGTAAGTGTCGTGCGGTCGCGGAAGAAACAGTGCGAAGCTCCGAAGTCCAGAGTGAAAGACAGCGAAGCGTCCTCCGGAGCAGCTCCTGGACTAGTGTCTACACAAGTACCTACACTAGCAACAGGCACCTCAGCAAGACTAGCACCCAAGCTAACAACACTCGAGTAAACAGAGTCAGAAGCACTAGAGTCAACAACAGGATACATAGCATGAGGAGTTCCTAAGAGATCAACCAACTGAGAAGCCGACATGCCCCACAGAGCGGGGCCGTATGTCTGAACAAGGGGAAGCCAGTCAGGGGCAGGGCCGTCAACGCCGTAGGCCAACCGAACCGTGTCAGTAAGCTGAGCAAAGCACTGACCCAGTGGGTGGCTGCGGCCACAAGGCTGGCCGCGGCGGGCACCTGTCAGAACGTGATAGGTGCAGGGAGGGTGGACGACACCGCGTTGCAGCTGACGCTGTCCTGACCCCTGCCCCGAAACCTGCTGCTGCCGCTGCTGCTGCTGTGGCTGCTGCGAGGGGAGGGGCTGCTGCTGCTGCTGCTGCTATCGCTGAGTCAGGTACCACGCCGCTGCTCCACCCCCTGCGGCTGGCAGATCAGTAGGTGGCTGAGGAACCCGGGCGTCACCTCCACCAGCTGCAGCAGGGGAGTCACCGGCCGCTGCACGAGGCGCTCCTCCAGCCCCTGCACTCCCGCCGCCGCCGCTCGCCACGTCAACCCCACCGCCTCCGCCGCCTCCGCCCGCACCCTGACCGTCCCTCCTGCCACTCCTACCCAGAGACCGCGAAGAAGTCGTAACAGCAGCTGCGGTCACGTCAGTAGCGGCAGTGGCAAGGGAGGCAGTAAAGGTGGGCAGCTGAGGGACAGTGCACCCGTGGAACAGTGGAGGGGGCACAGCACCAGAGGCAGAGGCTACCGAGCGGAGGTTGCTCTCGACGTCCTTGAGGGCCGACTCAAGGACCTCGATAGTGAGCTCGCTAGGGTGCTTCAGAAGAAGCGTGTCACGAACCGAGGCAAGGCGGTCAGGGAGGCTAGTGGCGATGAAATAGATAGTAATCGCCATGGGGGGAGGGAGCAGTGCAATCTGTGCGTCAGTGCAAGCAGCGCGGTAGCTAGAATCGAGCGAGCGCAGATGAGTGATCAGGTCGGCAGTGCGCTCAAACGAGGCGAGGTCAGGAAACTGGAACGGAAGGAACATGCGACCAAGAGAGATAGTGGTGGGAGTAGCGTAGCGGGCCTTGATCGCAGTCAGGAACTCACTAGCCGTGCGAACCTGAGTGAAGTGGGTCTCCTCAGACTCAGGGAGGAGGCTGCTGAGGGCGATGCAGGCCGCAACGTCACGCGACTTCCACGCGGTCACGTCAGCACGCTCGCGTGCATAACGGTCACTGTCTGCAGGTGTGGGGTCAGCTGCTAAGGGTGCAGGGTGAGCGGGCTCAGGTAGGTCACCGGAAGCGTGCGTCCACATAGTCTCGTGTGCCTGAACCTGGCTCTCTAGGAGGCGACGCGCACGCAGGAGCCAGACCGAGAACTCGAGCGGCCTACCCTCAGCGTCAAAGCGCAGGACCCTAGGGGTCGCCATAGCGGAAGCGTAGAGGTGGATACCGGTGCTGCCAAAACCCTAAACGCCTAGAGGGTCCGAGCAGGGCGCGACAGGCTGCGCGGAAGGCGCGACGCGACGGGACAGCAGGGCGCGACGCGACGGGACGGGTAGGACGCGACTCGACGGGACAGCAGGGCGCGACGCGACGGGCTGGGGGCGACTCGACGGGAGGGGGGGGGGGGGGGCAAGACGCGACGGGCAGGGGACGGAGCTACGGGCAGGGGACGGGACGACGGGCAGGGGACGGGACGACGGGCAGGGAACGGGACGACGGGCAGGGGATGGGACGGGCAGAGGACGGGACGGGCAGCGCGACGCGACGGGCAGGGGACGCGACGGGCAGGGGACGGGACGATGGCTCTGATACCATGTCAAGAATGAAAGTGTTGGTTTGACTAAGGTTGGTTGGGGTACATAAACCTAACCCTAACAGTTGTACCCCCTATAACACACATCACTAAGACTACAACATTTGACACTAACCTAGCGACTGATTACTGATACCGTACCGTGTCAAGAAGTGGAAACAGCGGAATGAATTGGACTAACCGGATGGGAGTACAAGTAGGAAACCCTAGAAACCGATTTCAAGCTCACAGAACTTGATATATTACCATGTTGACCTCAGGCTTTAAGGCTAGCCCCACTGTAGCCTAACAATCAGGCCCTCAGATATCAGCGTAAAACACGCTGATTAGGCTGATTTTGTAGCTGTGATTTTCGTTTTCCCTGAAAATTCAGCATATGCTTAAATTTTGCACTGAAATTTCAGTATAACTTACTTTGCCACACTGACCATTTTGCATGTTGATGTACAAGTACCGTATAGCCCCGGATATAAGCGCATATGCGCTTATAATAAAAAGGGGGTGGCGCTTGTAATTGAGTAACGGCCATAAGCGCCGGCGCTTATATAATGACAAAACAAAATTATATATTTAGAGCACCAAATTGTTTCATTTTCTTTTTGCCATTTCAACCGAGTCGATTTTTTTTGGCGTCACAAAGCAGAATCGCGCGCGAGCGATATTCTGCCAGCACACAAAGGAAAACACACGTCATGCCAGCACATCCTGACTGGACGCGCAGCCAGTCAGGTCTTCGAGAGTCAAACGAAGCGAAATTGAAATATGACTCGCTGCAGAAATGAATCTCGTTAATGTTCTAAGCAATATTTTAATTTTAAATTACACATGCGCTTATAACAAGTAAAGCATTTTTAGGGGGGGCGCTTATAATCGAGGAACGGCCATAAGCGCCATGCTCCAGATAGAAGCGCCGGCGCTTGTAATAGGCCGGCGCCTATATCCGGGGCCATACGGTAGCACTGACGAATCAGTATAGTGACGTGAGTCACACTGAAACGGACTTGACCGCGTGGGGGGGGGGGGGGGGTGGGTGGGGGGGGAGGGGGGAGGATAGGGTACGCGTGTACACTGTACAGTCTGTACCTTCCCGTGATTCACGAAACCCCACCCACACACTTGGATTTTTTTCGCATGCGCTGCACAGATATCAGGTTCGCACCGAAGTGTTTAGCCTCGCTAGAACCCATCACAGCAACAACACCACACACCTTGTACTGGTGTTTCAGCTATAGTTATTTTTTTTACACTGTTGGTTCAGTTTACTTATGATTTTTACACTGGCAAAATCAGTATAAAAAAACCGTGAACGCTGATTTGGACACCTCGTTGGCCGGGGCACGCTGATCCATCAGCATACCCTCAAACCAATCTGAGGGCCTGCTAACAATGTATAAACATGCAGTTTTGACAGTTCTTTGTGAGCAGAGACTGCAAATTCATGGAGAACCTTATGTACGAGGATTGGAAGGCGGAAAATGAAGAAAAAATTGGTGTGCAACTTGGTGAGGTGAAGAGATCCGGCTTGGAGCATATGGAGCTACCCTTAGAGCTGAGCAGTAGCAATCAATTCTAGTGAATGGGGAAGAGAAATTGGTGTTTGAGGCGTGTCTGATAAGAGGGTAGTCTGACTGGAGGCCGTAGGAAGACGCTCTAATGAATGCAAGGGTTTTTACAAAAGCTGCTGCAGACATCTCCACGAGTTCTCAAGTGGCCACAGCAGGCTGTGCTGCGGCTACTCCTCGTGTCTCTGCAAGGGGCAAGGGACACACCTGCAGCACCAGCGTTGACTTGCCCGCTATGTGAGCCCTGTTAATGCGGCGTAACGTTCGCTCGAATCCATGCCAGCGTGGCATCAATGGCATGCTGGTCGCAGTAGATCCTGTGAAATCCACATTGGGGGGGCAGGGCAGCATGGTAAGGTGCATGGACAGCTGGCCTCACACTGCGAGCTCGGCGTGGTGCACCATCCATGCACGAGTAGGTGCACCATCCATGCACGAGTAGGTGCACCATCCATGCACGAGTAGGTGCACCATCCATGCACTAGTAGGTGCACCATCCATGCACGAGTAGGTGCACCATCCATGCACGAGTAGGTGCACCATCCATGCACGAGTAGGTGCACCATCCATGCACGAGTAGGTGCACCATCCATGCACGAGTGGGTGCACCATCCATGCACGAGTGGGTGCACCATCCATGCACGAGTAGGTGCACCATCGATGCACTAGTAGGTGCACCATCCATGCACGAGTAGGTGCACCATCCATGCACGAGTGGGTGCACCATCCATGCACGAGTGGGTGCACCATCCATGCACGAGTGGGTGCACCATCCATGCACGAGTGGGTGCACCATCCATGCACTAGTAGGTGCACCATCCATGCACGAGTAGGTGCACCATCCATGCACTAGTAGGTGCACCATCCATGCACGAGTGGGTGCACCATCCATGCACGAGTGGGTGCACCATCCATGCACGAGTAGGTGCACCATCCATGCACGAGTAGGTGCACCATCCATGCACGAGTGGGTGCACCATCCATGCACGAGTGGGTGCACCATCCATGCACGAGTAGGTGCACCATCCATGCACGAGTAGGTGCACCATCCATGCACGAGTAGGTGCACCATCCATGCACGAGTGGGTGCACCATCCATGCACGAGTGGGTGCACCATCCATGCACGAGTGGGTGCACCATCCATGCACGAGTGGGTGCACCATCCATGCACGAGTAGGTGCACCATCCATGCACGAGTGGGTGCACCATCCATGCACGAGTGGGTGCACCATCCATGCACGAGTGGGTGCACCATCCATGCACGAGTAGGTGCACCATCCATGCACGAGTAGGTGCACCATCCATGCACGAGTAGGTGCATCATCCATGCACGAGTAGGTGCACCATCCATGCACGAGTAGGTGCACCATCCATGCACGAGTAGGTGCACCATCCATGCACGAGTAGGTACACCATCCATGCACTAGTAGGTGCACCATCCATGCACGAGTGGGTGCACCATCCATGCACGAGTGGGTGCACCATCCATGCACGAGTGGGTGCACCATCCATGCACGAGTAGGTGCACCATCCATGCACGAGTAGGTGCACCATCCATGCACGAGTGGGTGCACCATCCATGCACGAGTAGGTGCACCATCCATGCACGAGTAGGTGCACCATCCATGCACGAGTAGGTGCACCATCCATGCACGAGTAGGTGCACCATCCATGCACGAGTAGGTGCACCATCCATGCACGAGTAGGTGCACCATCCATGCACTAGTAGGTGCACCATCCATGCACGAGTAGGTGCACCATCCATGCACGAGTAGGTGCACCATCCATGCACGAGTAGGTGCACTATCCATGCACGAGTGGGTGCACCATCCATGCACGAGTAGGTGCACCATCCATGCACTGGTAGGTGCACCATCCATGCACTGGTAGGTGCACCATCCATGCACGAGTGGGTGCACCATCCATGCACGAGTAGGTGCACCATCCATGCACGAGTGAGTGCACCATCCATGCACGAGTGGGTGCACCATCCATGCACGAGTAGGTGCACCATCCATGCACGAGTAGGTGCACCATCCATGCACGAGTAGGTGCACCATCCATGCACGAGTAGGTGCACCATCCATGCACGAGTGGGTGCACCATCCATGCACTAGTAGGTGCACCATCCATGCACGAGTAGGTGCACCATCCATGCACGAGTAGGTGCACCATCCATGCACGAGTAGGTGCACCATCCATGCACTAGTAGGTGCACCATCCATGCACGAGTAGGTGCACCATCCATGCACTGGTAGGTGCACCATCCATGCACTGGTAGGTGCACCATCCATGCACTGGTAGGTGCACCATCCATGCACTGGTAGGTGCACCATCCATGCACTGGTAGAGAAAGGAGAGCAAGGAAGGAAAGAGGAGAGCAGGCGAAAAATGAAAGAGGGCAGGTGAGGACAGTGGAGAGCAGGCACGAGCACGAGCGAGGGTGGAAGATGCAGAGAGCATGCGAGGGTGGGTTGAGAGAGAGTCGTACTCCAGCTGTGCCCGGTACCCCTTCAGCGCCCTCTCCTCCTCCGCCCTCTCCCTGCGCTGCTCTCGCCTCACCGCCTTCTCGCACGCCCCCCCGCTGCCCCCTCCTCCTCCAACACCACCCTGCCCCCCTTCGCTCTCTGCCCCAAACCTCCCCTCCCCACCCCCCTGCCGCTCCCCACCCGCCTGCCCCTCCCCACCCAGGTGCCCCTCCCCACGCGTCGACCCATCAAAGTCCCGCAGCACCATCCCCACCAGCTCCTCCTGGGGCGGGCAGGGGGGGGGAGGATGGAGGCGTAGAATCGATTGAGCAAGTGCACACGACACGAGTGCAGCAGCTGACATGGGCGAGGTGAGAAGCAGGGACGTGGTTGGTTCAAGTAAGCTAAAGCTCAAAGGCAGCAGCAATCACCAAGCGGTTTGACACACATCAACACACTGCTGCTTCACGCACCACTACTGTTTGGCAATTCGTCTCACCAGGGGGGCAATGTCTCTCACCAGCGGGGCAATGTCTCTCACCAGCCGGGCAATGTCTCTCACCAGGGGGGCAATGTCTCTCACCAGGGGGGCAATGTCTCTCACCAGGGGGGCAATGTCTCTCACCAGGGGGGCAGTGTCTCTCACCAGGGGGGCAATGTCTCTCACCAGCGGGGCAATGTCTCTCACCAGGGGGGCAATGTCTCTCACCAGGGGGGCAGTGTCTCTCACCAGGGGGGCAGTGTCTCTCACCAGGGGGGCAATGTCTCTCACCAGCGGGGCAATGTCTCTCACCAGGGGGGCAGTGTCTCTCACCAGGGGGGCAATGTCTCTCACCAGCGGGGCAATGTCTCTCACCAGGGGGGCAATGTCTCTCACCAGGGGGGCAGTGTCTCTCACCAGGGGGGCAGTGTCTCTCACCAGGGGGGCAATGTCTCTCACCAGCGGGGCAATGTCTCTCACCAGGGGGGCAATGTCTCTCACCAGGGGGGCAGTGTCTCTCACCAGCGGGGCAATGTCTCTCACCAGCGGGGCAATGTCTCTCACCAGGGGGGCAGTGTCTCTCACCAGGGGGGCAGTGTCTCTCAGCAGGGGGGCAATGTCTCTCACCAGCGGGGCAATGTCTCTCACCAGGGGGGCAATGTCTCTCACCAGGGGGGCAGTGTCTCTCACCAGGGGGGCAGTGTCTCTCACCAGGGGGGCAATGTCTCTCACCAGGGGGGCAGTGTCTCTCACCAGGGGGGCAATGTCTCTCACCAGGGGGGCAATGTCTCTCACCAGGGGGGCAGTGTCTCTCACCAGGGGGGCAGTGTCTCTCACCAGGGGGGCAATGTCTCTCACCAGCGGGGCAATGTCTCTCACCAGGGGGGCAATGTCTCTCACCAGGGGGGCAGTGTCTCTCACCAGGGGGGCAATGTCTCTCACCAGCGGGGCAATGTCTCTCACCAGGGGGGCAATGTCTCTCACCAGGGGGGCAGTGTCTCTCACCAGGGGGGCAGTGTCTCTCACCAGGGGGGCAATGTCTCTCACCAGCGGGGCAATGTCTCTCACCAGGGGGGCAATGTCTCTCACCAGGGGGGCAGTGTCTCTCACCAGCGGGGCAATGTCTCTCACCAGGGGGGCAGTGTCTCTCACCAGGGGGGCAGTGTCTCTCACCAGGGGGGCAATGTCTCTCACCAGCGGGGCAATGTCTCTCACCAGGGGGGCAATGTCTCTCACCAGGGGGGCAGTGTCTCTCACCAGGGGGGCAGTGTCTCTCACCAGGGGGGCAATGTCTCTCACCAGGGGGGCAGTGTCTCTCACCAGGGGGGCAATGTCTCTCACCAGGGGGGCAATGTCTCTCACCAGGGGGGCAGTGTCTCTCACCAGGGGGGCAGTGTCTCTCACCAGGGGGGCAATGTCTCTCACCAGCGGGGCAATGTCTCTCACCAGGGGGGCAATGTCTCTCACCAGGGGGGCAGTGTCTCTCACCAGGGGGGCAGTGTCTCTCACCAGGGGGGCAATGTCTCTCACCAGCGGGGCAATGTCTCTCACCAGGGGGGCAATGTCTCTCACCAGGGGGGCAGTGTCTCTCACCAGGGGGGCAATGTCTCTCACCAGGGGGGCAGTGTCTCTCACCAGGGGGGAGTGGGCGGGCAGCCATCGGAAGAGCCGTTGGGAGCGGAACCACGTGGTCTGGCGCTTGGCGTAGCGCCGCGACGCCTGCTGGAACTCCAAGATGAACGCCACCAGCGCCGCCTGCAGTGCCTCCTACACCTCCACCTCCACCTGCTGCTCCTGCTGCCCTCGCTCCTCACTGCTCCCCGCTTCCACTTCCACCTGCTGCTCTTGCTCTCTGGTCTCCATGAGGCGCTGGCAGTGCAGCAGGAAGGACATGGCCTGGCGGTAGCCGATGGCGCGTGTGGGCGAGGAGGAGTCGGGCAGCAGCCCCGCTCGCAGCAGCGCCAGGCTCTCCTCCAGCAGCCCGCCTGCCGCCACACGGGCCGAGAGAGCGCGCGTGAGGGCACGGGGCGATGGGGCATGCAGGGGAAGGCAAGAGATGGAGGCATGAGAACGAGGGGGCGCCGTGGGGTTGAGAAAGGCGTGTGGACTTGTGTGGTGCAGGCGAGGGCAATGGTGAGAGGAGGGTGCAGCGGACTGGAGTCACCAAGTACAAGCATTCGGTCCGTAGAATCTCAAAGCCCGTATGTCCTTCCACCTGAGCACGCACCAAGGCTCGCCTCACCTTGCACCATGGCTCGCCTCACCTTGCACCATCTCTTCGCAGCGTCTATCTATTCGGCGGTACAGCGGCAGGCGAGGGGCGTCCAGGAAGAAGCAGTGGAAGGCGAATGGCGGCGCCGACGCGGCAGCAGCAGCCGCAGCAGGCGGGGTGGTGTGTTTGGCGTGGTGGGAAGGCACGGTGATCTCTGATCGAGGGCGACCCGTGGCCTGAGGGAGGGAGACACGCGCACGCTTACACAGGCTTGGAAAAGGGCGTGGCGCGGAGAGGAGGGAAAAGTGTCATCAAGGTGAAGAGGAGTGAAAAAGAGGAAGAGAGGGAAGGAGAGGACAGTGGCATGGGCGGATTAGTGTGGCTCACTGTCCCTGGCCTGCTGGATGCGGGACACTCCTCCACCATCATGCTCTCACCACTCTTGCCTCTTCACCACTCTTGCCTCTTCACCACTCTTGCCTCTTCACCACTCTTGCCTCTTCACCACTCTTGCCTCTTCACCACTCTTGCCTCTTCGCCACTCCTGCCTCTTCACCACTCTTGCCTCTTCACCACTCTGCCTCTTCACCACTCCTGCCTCTTCACCACTCTTGCCTCTTCACCACTCCTGCCTCTTCACCACTCTTGCCTCTTCACCACTCTTGCCTCTTCACCATTCTTGCCTCTTCACCACTCCTGCCTCTTCACCACTCCTGCCTCTTCACCACTCCTGCCTCTTCACCACTCTTGCCTCTTCACCACTCCTGCCTCTTCACCACTCTTGCCTCTTCACCACTCCTGCCTCTTCACCACTCTTGCCTCTTCACCACTCCTGCCTCTTCACCACTCCTGCCTCTTCACCACTCCTGCCTCTTCACCACTCTTGCCTCTTCACCACTCTTGCCTCTTCACCACTCCTGCCTCTTCACCACTCTTGCCTCTTCACCACTCCTGCCTCTTCACCACTCCTGCCTCTTCACCACTCTTGCCTCTTCACCACTCCTGCCTCTTCACCACTCCTGCCTCTTCACCACTCCTGCCTCTTCACCACTCTTGCCTCTTCACCACTCCTGCCTCTTCACCACTCCTGCCTCTTCACCACTCCTGCCTCTTCACCACTCCTGCCTCTTCACCACTCTTGCCTCTTCACCACTCTTGCCTCTTCACCACTCCTGCCTCTTCACCACTCCTGCCTCTTCACCACTCCTGCCTCTTCACCACTCCTGCCTCTTCACCACTCCTGCCTCTTCACCACTCTTGCCTCTTCACCACTCTTGCCTCTTCACCACTCTTGCCTCTTCACCACTCTTGCCTCTTCACCACTCTTGCCTCTTCGCCACTCCTGCCTCTTCACCACTCCTGCCTCTTCACCACTCCTGCCTCTTCACCACTCTTGCCTCTTCACCACTCTTGCCTCTTCACCACTCCTGCCTCTTCACCACTCTTGCCTCTTCACCACTCCTGCCTCTTCACCACTCTTGCCTCTTCACCACTCCTGCCTCTTCACCACTCCTGCCTCTTCACCACTCCTGCCTCTTCACCACTCTGCCTCTTCACCACTCTTGCCTCTTCACCACTCTTGCCTCTTCACCACTCCTGCCTCTTCACCACTCTTGCCTCTTCACCACTCCTGCCTCTTCACCACTCCTGCCTCTTCACCACTCTTGCCTCTTCACCACTCTTGCCTCTTCACCACTCTTGCCTCTTCACCACTCCTGCCTCTTCACCACTCTTGCCTCTTCACCACTCTTGCCTCTTCACCGCTCCTGCCTCTTCACCACTCTTGCCTCTTCACCACTCTTGCCTCTTCACCGCTCCTGCCTCTTCACCACTCCTGCCTCTTCACCACTCTTGCCTCTTGCCTCTTCACCACTCATGCCTCTTCACCACTCTTGCCTCTTCACCACTCCTGCCTCTTCACCACTCATGCCTCTTCACCACTCCTGCCTCTTCACCACTCCTGCCTCTTCACCACTCCTGCCTCTTCACCACTCCTGCCTCTTCACCACTCCTGCCTCTTCACCACTCTTGCCTCTTCACCACTCTTGCCTCTTCACCACTCCTGCCTCTTCACCACTCTTGCCTCTTCACCACTCCTGCCTCTTCACCACTCCTGCCTCTTCACCACTCTTGCCTCTTCACCACTCCTGCCTCTTCACCACTCCTGCCTCTTCACCACTCCTGCCTCTTCACCACTCTTGCCTCTTCACCACTCTTGCCTCTTCACCACTCTTGCCTCTTCACCACTCCTGCCTCTTCACCACTCTTGCCTCTTCACCACTCTTGCCTCTTCACCACTCTTGCCTCTTCACCACTCTTGCCTCTTCACCACTCCTCCCTCTTCACCACTCTTGCCTCTTCACCACTCCTGCCTCTTCACCACTCATGCCTCTTCACCACTCTTGCCTCTTCACCACTCCTGCCTCTTCACCACTCTTGCCTCTTCACCACTCCTGCCTCTTCACCACTCTTGCCTCTTCACCACTCTTGCCTCTTCACCACTCTTGCCTCTTCACCACTCCTGCCTCTTCACCACTCCTGCCTCTTCACCACTCTTGCCTCTTCACCACTCCTGCCTCTTCACCACTCCTGCCTCTTCACCACTCTTGCCTCTTCACCACTCTTGCCTCTTCACCACTCCTGCCTCTTCACCACTCTTGCCTCTTCACCACTCTTGCCTCTTCACCACTCTTGCCTCTTCGCCACTCCTGCCTCTTCACCACTCCTGCCTCTTCACCACTCCTGCCTCTTCAGCACTCTTGCCTCTTCACCACTCTTGCCTCTTCACCACTCCTGCCTCTTCACCACTCTTGCCTCTTCACCACTCCTGCCTCTTCACCACTCTTGCCTCTTCACCACTCCTGCCTCTTCACCACTCCTGCCTCTTCACCACTCCTGCCTCTTCACCACTCTTGCCTCTTCACCACTCTTGCCTCTTCACCACTCCTGCCTCTTCACCACTCTTGCCTCTTCACCACTCCTGCCTCTTCACCACTCCTGCCTCTTCACCACTCTTGCCTCTTCACCACTCTTGCCTCTTCACCACTCTTGCCTCTTCACCACTCCTGCCTCTTCACCACTCTTGCCTCTTCACCACTCTTGCCTCTTCACCGCTCCTGCCTCTTCACCACTCTTGCCTCTTCACCACTCTTGCCTCTTCACCGCTCCTGCCTCTTCACCACTCCTGCCTCTTCACCACTCTTGCCTCTTGCCTCTTCACCACTCATGCCTCTTCACCACTCTTGCCTCTTCACCACTCCTGCCTCTTCACCACTCATGCCTCTTCACCACTCCTGCCTCTTCACCACTCCTGCCTCTTCACCACTCCTGCCTCTTCACCACTCCTGCCTCTTCACCACTCCTGCCTCTTCACCACTCTTGCCTCTTCACCACTCATGCCTCTTCACCACTCTTGCCTCTTCACCACTCCTGCCTCTTCACCACTCTTGCCTCTTCACCACTCTTGCCTCTTCACCACTCTTGCCTCTTCACCACTCTTGCCTCTTCACCACTCTTGCCTCTTCACCACTCCTCCCTCTTCACCACTCTTGCCTCTTCACCACTCCTGCCTCTTCACCACTCATGCCTCTTCACCACTCTTGCCTCTTCACCACTCCTGCCTCTTCACCACTCTTGCCTCTTCACCACTCTTGCCTCTTCACCACTCTTGCCTCTTCACCACTCTTGCCTCTTCACCACTCCTCCCTCTTCACCACTCTTGCCTCTTCACCACTCATGCCTCTTCACCACTCATGCCTCTTCACCACTCTTGCCTCTTCACCACTCCTGCCTCTTCACCACTCTTGCCTCTTCACCACTCCTGCCTCTTCACCACTCTTGCCTCTTCACCACTCTTGCCTCTTCACCACTCCTGCCTCTTCACCACTCCTGCCTCTTCACCACTCTTGCCTCTTCACCACTCCTGCCTCTTCACCACTCCTGCCTCTTCACCACTCCTGCCTCTTCACCACTCTTGCCTCTTCACCACTCTTGCCTCTTCACCACTCCTGCCTCTTCACCACTCTTGCCTCTTCACCACTCCTGCCTCTTCACCACTCCTGCCTCTTCACCACTCTTGCCTCTTCACCACTCCTGCCTCTTCACCACTCCTGCCTCTTCACCACTCCTGCCTCTTCACCACTCTTGCCTCTTCACCACTCTTGCCTCTTCACCACTCCTGCCTCTTCACCACTCTTGCCTCTTCACCACTCTTGCCTCTTCACCACTCTTGCCTCTTCACCACTCCTGCCTCTTCACCACTCTTGCCTCTTCACCACTCTTGCCTCTTCACCGCTCCTGCCTCTTCACCACTCTTGCCTCTTCACCACTCTTGCCTCTTCACCGCTCCTGCCTCTTCACCACTCCTGCCTCTTCACCACTCTTGCCTCTTGCCTCTTCACCACTCATGCCTCTTCACCACTCTTGCCTCTTCACCACTCCTGCCTCTTCACCACTCATGCCTCTTCACCACTCCTGCCTCTTCACCACTCCTGCCTCTTCACCACTCCTGCCTCTTCACCACTCCTGCCTCTTCACCACTCCTGCCTCTTCACCACTCTTGCCTCTTCACCACTCTTGCCTCTTCACCACTCCTGCCTCTTCACCACTCTTGCCTCTTCACCACTCCTGCCTCTTCACCACTCCTGCCTCTTCACCACTCTTGCCTCTTCACCACTCCTGCCTCTTCACCACTCCTGCCTCTTCACCACTCCTGCCTCTTCACCACTCTTGCCTCTTCACCACTCTTGCCTCTTCACCACTCTTGCCTCTTCACCACTCCTGCCTCTTCACCACTCTTGCCTCTTCACCACTCTTGCCTCTTCACCACTCATGCCTCTTCACCACTCTTGCCTCTTCACCACTCCTGCCTCTTCACCACTCTTGCCTCTTCACCACTCTTGCCTCTTCACCACTCTTGCCTCTTCACCACTCTTGCCTCTTCACCACTCCTCCCTCTTCACCACTCTTGCCTCTTCACCACTCCTGCCTCTTCACCACTCATGCCTCTTCACCACTCTTGCCTCTTCACCACTCCTGCCTCTTCACCACTCATGCCTCTTCACCACTCTTGCCTCTTCACCACTCCTCCCTCTTCACCACTCTTGCCTCTTCACCACTCCTGCCTCTTCACCACTCATGCCTCTTCACCACTCCTCCCTCTTCACCACTCTTGCCTCTTCACCACTCCTGCCTCTTCACCACTCATGCCTCTTCACCACTCTTGCCTCTTCACCACTCCTGCCTCTTCACCACTCTTGCCTCTTCACCACTCTTGCCTCTTCACCACTCTTGCCTCTTCACCACTCTTGCCTCTTCACCACTCCTCCCTCTTCACCACTCTTGCCTCTTCACCACTCCTGCCTCTTCACCACTCTTGCCTCTTCACCACTCCTGCCTCTTCACCACTCTTGCCTCTTCACCACTCC